GAAATTAAAGCCCACCTGTGGGATGGGCTGGCAGAGCCCGAAGTGCTTGTCCAGGAAGCCGAGCAGCTTGGGCGAGGGCCGGTCCACGGCCAGGCGCTGGGGGGGCAGGCGCTCGCGCTGCGGGGCGTTAATTACCCTAATTAACTCCTAATTACCCCTCATTAATGTGTCACCCTTTCTGTTAGCGTTTTACCCGCTTCAATTAACGTTTCCCCCCTTTACATTAGCGTTTGTCCCATTTAAATTCACATTTAAATTCCCTTTAAATCCATATTTACCCTAAATTACCCCCAATTACCCTTAATTACCCCCTCATTAATGGTTTTCCCATTTAAATTCATGTTTTCCCCATTTGAATCCACATTTACCCCAAATTACCCCTGAATTACCCTTAATTACCTCCTCATTAATGTTTCTCCCATTTAAATTCATGTTTTTCCCATTTAAATCCACATTTACCCCGAATTACCCCTAATTACTTCCTCATTAATGTTTCACCCCTTTCAATTAACGTTTATCCCACTTAAATTAACATTTTACCCATTTAAATCTGCATCTACCTCTAATTACCCCTAATTACCTCCTAATTACCCCTAATTACCCTCATTAACGTTTCTCCCCTTTCAATCAATGTTTTTCCTCAAAAATACCATGATTTTCCCCAAAATTCCTGTTTTTCCCCAAAATTCCTGTTCTTTTCCCAGAATTCATGTTATTTTTCCCAAATTCCTGTTATTTTTCCCAAAATTCCTGTGATTTTCCCCAAAATTTCCATTTTGCCTCCCCAAACTCCCATTATTTTCCCCAAATTCCCATTATTTTTCCCGAAACTCCTGTGATTTTCCCCAAAATTTCCATTTTGCCTCCCCAGATTCCCGTTGTTTTCCCCAAATTCCTGTGGTTTTTCCCGAATTCCCGTTGTTTTTCCCCAAAAATCCCCAGACCTGCAGCATCTCCCGGAAGAGCTCCCGGCCCAGCCCCCGGCGCTGCTGCGACTCGTGGACGTAAAAATCCAGGACACAGAGGGGCTCCACCTCCACGTGGGCCCCGTCCTGGTCCTGCAATTCCCAAAATTCCCAAA